TAGGCAAAAGCCATCTTTATGGCCGATGACTTTACACTTCCTTCATCTATGCTGCCTAAATGGGCAGTTCCGTACATAGTGCCATGAGCCGCAGTGCCAGCAAGGAGTAGGAGGTTTCGTTTTCGACTTCTGGATTGAGGTGGAGTGGGATGAACTGGGTGTAGCATGGGCATCTTTATTATGGTTAGGTAACTGTTGGTGAACAACGTGAACTTCGGAACCACCCCGGCCTCCAGATTTCACGAAATTGCTGTCATGCTGCAAGTTGGTGATCAGTTGATACTCATCAGTGATCACATCGAGTGTAAGTGTTGGGTCTTGTTCAACGCGGTTAAGCAACCGAGTTCTGATGTCGGAAAATTTAGGTGATTGAAGACTGCATATGAATATGAGGGGTTTGAATTGATCATCGGTGAGAGATTTGAGTTTGAACAGTTCTCACTCACAGTTGACGATGTCAGAATGGGTCATGAAGTACCAGCTAGAAGTCTTGATATAGCGTAGAAAGTGTATTCTACATACACCCAGCCAACACACAATCAATCCAAGCACTCAAATCGCGTTTATTTATGCTCTGTAGAGACGTCCTTGGGAAAGTCACAAAATAGCACACTAAAATGACACAGTAACCAATCACAGCCAAATGTTGTTCTGATGGGAAATGTAATCCCAAGGTCAACTGATTGGTCCATCAAATCTGGGGATCTAACATCCCCAAATGCTTCTGCCTGATGTTATCATTGAGCTGTAGGGAAATGAATGGAATAAGAAAAGCCCTATAGCGTATGATTATGGTCGTTGGTGTCAACTGTCTGTTGATTTTTCCAACCGAATATCTTAGTGTTAGACAATCTTATTCAGCAGCATATATGCTCATCAGGATTTACAACTCCCAAGTGCACACCTGCTGTGCGGCGAAGCAGGATCACAGCACAAGGTTGTTTCGCGTCCTATTTCTGTTAATAATAATAATAATAATAATAATAATAATTTATTCTCAAATAACAAACATGTTACAAGAGACATGCCAATTTACAGGCAAGATCAAAATGTTAAGATTAGCAACATATTTTTTTTTAAAACGGTATACAGTTACTGAAACTTTTCACGAGATTCATTGTTTTCTTAAAGATGGAATGTACAAAGCGAGTAATTGGCGCAAGTTACGAAGGTTGCGTTACGACAATCATCTTATGGACTGAGAAACGATTCATGGTACAGATGGGTTTTCATATAACAAGAATTGATGCGGTAAATGTACAGAGGTCTGGTTGATATTCGTCAGCTAATGATTTCACATGTTCTTGGGTAGGGTAACCAAGTCTACTGCAAATATCCAGACTGATATATGAGGAGTGGAATAAGGTTCTGAAAAAAGAGGAATAAAGAAAACGGGACGAGGAGCGGAACAGAAAATACGTTTATAGATAAAACAAAGGTATGTTTACTCAGACTTTTTTTAATATCATTACTGTACACCTGCACTTATGTAGGTTAATGAAGACAATTCAGTAGTGAGATAACTAATGGGAAGTTAGTCGAATAAATAGAGGAAATTCAGAAGAACCAAGTTGTTAGTAATAATGTTGATTTACAAAATATAATAAAGAGGCTCAGTGATATAATATTTTGTTTTATTTATTCTTTTTATTTTTAACTCTTCAGCTCAAGAAGTTATGAATGAGCTCTTTTAGTATAGTTGTCCAGACCAGCTTGTAATAGGATTTCTCGGTAGGAAGTAAAAACCAGTGCAAGGTTACAGACATGAGTTGTAGACGAGGTTAACAAGGAAAAGTAACATCAATATCACTGATTTGTTACATCCTGCTATATCGTAAGGAGCCGTAAGCAAACAAAATGTTCTGCCACACAGACATGGGTAGATTGAGGTTATCGCCCTACCGTCATGAATGCTGGTCAGATACTCCACCCTCCCTCCTTTTGTGATGTTAGGCTCTCTTACGTTTAATGGTTGATTGTAAATAATGGTCTCTAGTCTACTCTAATTTTTTTGTAAACCTTATCGGAATTCACTTTCTCTACTAGCTCCATATTACAAGCCATCCAGATAACTTCGCCAGAGAAAATATCCACGAAGCATATCACAGTGATTTTAAGTAAACGAATGGTATGATTTGTAAGATGAGTCAGTCAATAGGTAGTTTGGAAATAGGAAGGACAGGGAGCTGGAACGAGGAGAAGGAGAAAAAAAGAGTTGAAATAATGTTAAAAATTAATGAGTAGAGCGATAAGTTGGTATGCAGGCAAGGTGTTTGGATGTTAATGAATTGGGGAAATAAAAATAAGTTAAACTGTTAATACGTAAATAAGAAGATACTCACAATTATACATGGTGTTTGAGTTCCTTGTAATTGACAGTAGTTGATCAGCATCTACAGGCTTGTCAATTTGTCTGTCTACTAGAAATAAAAACTAAAACTGCTATGAAGATATGAAAATAATGATTGGAATTTAGAAGCAGAGAAAAGTCACGGTTAACACCTCAAAGGCGTAACCTATTGCTGTTAGTAGGAGCAGGGGGATTTGTCTACCATTTCATGATGCATGTATGGGTGGTAATGAGAACACAATATGGTCATAGTCTATAATTAGTTTCTGAGGTTTATCTAAATATTTGGTGGACCATAAAAGAGTGCCTGGGGACTTTGTGTGAGTTCTGGGAATAGTCGATAAATCTCTTTAGAATCTAGCAACAGCATGACTAGTTTCTTGAACTTAGTGATTGTGTCACAGATACGAATAGCGATTGGTAACCTGTTCCACAGTAGACTGTATCGTATTACAAAGAAATTAGAACGCAATGATTTTTTGTGTTTTGCCGTTAATAGTGTATATGCGTTGTTTCTAAGTCTGTAAGCAGTGTCTTGGTTCATATTTGGGCGGTGTTTTACGAACGAAAGACCATTTATTAGTTTATAGAGGAGCATTAGGTTGTTTTTGAGACGACGGCGCCATAGAGGTTCTAGGGAAAGATGCTTGCATCTTTCTGTGTAGTCGAGGTTATTGCTCAATCCGAGTAGTCGCCGGGTGAAGCTTCTTTGTACATTTTCTACTCTCATTTTTTCCATGATATTCATGTTTGAAAATATGAGTGAACAATATTCAAGTGTGGGCCTTATACAGATTTTGAAGAGAGTAAGCTTAGCCTCACTTGTGAAGAAGTTCTTGTTTATAAACCCAATGAGTCGTCCGAACATGTTTCTCAAAGCCATTCCAAGCACTAACAACTCCTAACCAATGGCTGACGAAATCGTATTCAGATAAGTATTATTAACATCTCTTATTTCACGCAAGTTATCAGTTTCGTTCAGTAACCTCACAGAGTCAAAAAAATAAGCAGTTAACATTTTAGGTTTGAAAAGCAGCAGCATCATCTTTCTGTTGGTTTGACGAAGCATTATATGATTGGACAGGCAGTATACCTAAGCCGAATCTTCCGGGTGGATGGCCTCTGTCACCTGGACGTTCTTCTGATTCTTAAAATTTAGCAAGCAGAGCATTTATTTCAAATTCGCTTTTGTGTCTAGTGCTTGTGTCTTATGGTCTGTCCGCATTCAGGCGAGTTCTAGTTGGCAGACGGTGTTTCTTGATGTTATGTCCGAATTTTGACATTGTTGGCTACTGAGGCATGGATAGTTGATACATTCGAAGGTTAAAACCCCAAATAATGAGTCTTACATTTAGTCCCAGGGGCCAAAGTTTTTAGATGTTTGAGCCCAAAGACTATGAACACAGCTACAAACCAATTAAGTTCGAGTACCAAGCATTATCCCGAATTTCGTATTAAAAGAGAGATGACAGGATAGTCCAGATGAAATAAATGAATGTTCTGGAGATTTCTTGGTGTCGAAAGAATACCGAAACATGCCAGAGAGTTGGGTGAAGTTACAGAGCAGCAAAAGCAAAATGGCGACATCTCAAGAAGGAAAGTGTGTTGCAAAAGAACGAATAAACAAAATGTTCGGTAAGACGTTCAATGATGAAATTGGTCATATTATTGAATGTTGCTATTTGTCCAATCTTGTAAAAGTGAAATCTTTACTGTTCACCACTATTCAGGGTATGGTAGTAACCTACATAGTAATTATCGGACTAACCAGAGTAATCGTCAAAGTAATGGAAAAAATTCCCCTCTTCCTTTGAATTTAATACTGTCTCCGTTATTTCAATATGTCTGACAGTTATTATTACCAGAAGCCGGTTACATTCGTGGCCTGGATAATGATGTCAGGCAAAAAATTATTCATTTATCTCATCACTGCTTGTAATTTATAGCCCTGGAAATTACTTTTAAAAATTCTTGACCATCAGTCTATCTTCACGACGTGGTCCTTGTAGATAGCTCTAGATTTCATACTGAACATTTTGGGCCTTCTAACTTTCGTTATAATCTTATATGAAAAACACAATCCTTATATATATGATCAGTGTATTTTATAAAATATCAATCAGAATGACACTGATCACAGTAAATCTGGTAGTACGGGGAACAACTTGATGCATGTGAATACCAGCAACTGTTTGTGTGACTATACAGTAAGCGAAATGATGTTACGAAAGGTAATAGATCGTAAGAATCTAATAGTCGTAATAAGCAACAGTCTTATACTTTAGGTAATTTTAAGGTTGCCCCTACCAAATGCTTCCTTGTGTGATTGGCTAGTTGATCTCTTTACAAGAATGAAGAAATGTTTAGAGGACTGTGCCGGCCGTTTATGAGGCCTCATTTAGAATGAGATTCAGACAGTGATTCCTGGTTTTAATTACGGAGCTTTTATGTAAGGATGAGCTGAACAACGAATGGCTAAAACGATGAGAGGTCTCAGAGGACAATGTGTATTATCTACTCCTTCGATGTAAAACATTTTATTTGAGAAGAAAGTTTAACATTTTCATGATAATTGGTTTGCTATAAAGGACTTATATAGACTTTAAGCTCAATATCTAATGGTTTCTTATTCCTGTTATCGGAAGTGACACTCAGTGTTTGCAAGTGTTTAAATTGGTGACAGCCAGTAGTGACGCGCTAATCAGAGATGGCCGACCGTGAGTGGACAGTCCTTGTTCTCATATCACACTTTTGTTTGTAGTCACCTTGCGTAAAATTTAATTAGTCTTAGATATGAGATATTTTTGTAATGCCTGTTTTGATCTATGTTTCGAGCTTTCTAACTATTGTTCTACATTCCAGCGATTCTTTGAGATGAGTTCTAATAACATTACCAGCGGTCCCGGAATGGCTTGACAGGGCCGAAAGTGCGGGGAGGACGAAAAAACGAGTGTGCGATCAGGCCTTTGACCGGGTTGGTGGGAGTGGAGTCAGAAAACCCTGATCTCAAGAAAGCGTTGTACATGGGTTCAAGAATAATAACCGAACGATTGGCGTTTGAATCTGTTACCTGTCACCGGCTACATAAGATAGTATCTTCCCAAGTTATCCACTGCCTCATGAACTAGAATCCTTGTTAATGACTCGGCGTGTAGCCTCTTAGTGGTACCTTCGGTTCCGGGCAGTATTCCAACCCCTCAGGTCCATTATTTCCTGTAGCGTTTAGGTATATAAGTGCTCCATTTCTACCAATGTTTGTGTTTAAATAAATAATACGAGTCGTGGTAGTAATAGGCTGGTAAACGGTGGTATGTCCCAATATCATCACTCAAACGATTTTGTAGCTGGCTATGTTCAGTAGTTCATTTTCAGTTTTAGTCGGTAGAACCTTGTATTGTTCGCCGTATCGGCAATCAAACGTCCTGTATGCTACTTCTATATCCAAGTTTTGGGTTGTGGCTGCAACTGGCTAATATATTGGTTTACGTGGTTTCCCACCTACAGGCATGTAATGTTTTTGCTGTTTAGTGCCAACGTACATAAAATACAAACTAACATCTACAGCTTCTTAGGGGCCCACCGTCAATCTAGTTTTCCGCTACAAAGACAGCTGAAAGGTTGCAGTAGTCCCACTTCGAAAGGCTTCATGTTTTCAGTCTACTTAACGTAACAAGGATTAATCATCTCTATCAGTTTTCGGATATATTTTGCTTTGTTTTTGAAGGTTTACAATAGTAGTATAAACAGTCAAAGGTACTGTTCAACAAGCTACTCGAACACCCCTCTACAATCACTAATACTGACTCTATGATCAATCGAATTAGCTGTCTTCGTAAGCTAAGTGTATTTAGCCAGTACCATCGATCGAGCTCTACACAAACGGTTACAAGTGCGCATCAGGTCGTTGTGATACTTCACTAAGACATTTGGTTATGAACAACAGAGTGATCGTTGGTAATAATAGGCCTGACAATGAGGACGATTCCTGAACAAGTGGTGAGTTTGATGACTAAGAAGTTTAGTGTAATGATGATGCTGAGAACTTGGCAGAAACTAAAGCGAGGATGCATATCCACCGTTGGCTGATTTTTGGCTAAGTCAACAGACGTCTTTGATTGCAATCTCGCTGGTCATGGTCCCCTGGAATGACTTATCGCTATGTTGGCTTGCTGGGAAACTGACGGTGAGGTTGAACCTCAACAACTAACCGATAAGTTGGTCAAATGGTATCAGTATCACGACCTTTTTGCACCAAACTGGTTGGTATCGATCAAATATTAGTGTCTATTCCCGTATTTCATCTACTCTAATTAGATCTTACTTTCTGTTCAAGTTTCTAAACCGCTAAATATCATTACTTATGTTTCTTGCCGAAATCTTTTCTGCTTTGATATGTGAGCTTGAATTAGCAGACATTTGAACCGGGTCAGAAATTAACGTCTTTACTGAAGGTCTGGTGTCTAATCTTAAGTTTTTACTCGTCTTAACTGTAATGCCTCAAAGTGGGATTCCTTCTGAAGTACAGCTAAACGTAATTAATATATTTTCAGTTACACATGTGGTTTGTCACTTAAGGCGTCCTATTTTATGTACTGCCATTGCTTGATAAACCAATGTCGTCCTTTCTGACATAGGAAACCCTCAAAACGTATCCCTTTACTTAAGATAACTAGAGGTTTATCATAAATTAGGCAAAGGTGCAGGTAAATATGCCAGTTTAGTAACGCGTTTCTTTCGTACAGAAGTGGGATCTTCATTCACAGTTACACAAACAGCACTTTTGATATCACATGGTAAGTCATTTTCCAACAGGAGTTAAGTAAGATGCAGAAGTGCCAAGTTTATTTGATAAACTGAATGATGGTACTAACTTTACTGAGTAGTTAATCGCTAAAAGCTAGGCAGTACACGGTTCGCACGTTCCATTTTGTGGTGCAAATAAGTAATTTACTGATTACTGTCATAAATAAGATTGATCCTAGACTTCCCTGAAAGGGAGTTAGACCAACAAGCTAAAACATGGTAAAAAAAGTTAAGAAATGGGTTGAGACACGTCGTTTATTTGAGCACTGTTGCATGTGTTTATTGTGTTAAATACTTTACGTAACGCTGATAACCCGAAAATCGCATAAGACTGTATTCTAAGTATATTTTCAATTGTCGGTTGAAGTACAAGTTTATGCGGTCTTTCCTTAATTTCAGAGTTCGCTTACGCTAATATGCAACAAGCTAGTCAAACGGGTTACCCTCCCTTCCACTATCCGACAGCAAGTGACCAGAATGCTCAATTGCTCCAAGGTTATGCACTTTCTCAACAAGGTAACCCAGCTGCTGGAGTTCCGGGCACTATGTTTGGAGCACAATCAGCTGCTTCATACAATTTTGACCAAACAGCTGCTTACAACCAATCTTCGTCGATTCCAGTTTGCCAAGTAGATGGTTCACAAGTCCCTATGCAACCCGGTTTGTTTCATAGCTTGTCGTTTATAATTTTCAGCAGCTGGAGGTTTTGCTTATCCTAATTTCTCTGGGTCATTTAACCAGTATCCTGGAATGGGGCAAGGGATGCCTCCTGGATTGTCAGCTGTTCAAGCAGGCTTCAGCACTGGTACTGCACTATAATCTTTTCTTATTTTTCAAAGATATGCAGCAGTTTGGTCCACTTATGGCTAATGCTTTTGGGCAAACAATGTCTGCCAATGGAGCAATATTGGAGGCAATAGCTCATGAACAAGGACTTGCAGGTTAGATTTTTTCGACAATCCGAAATTTTTGAATTTCAGGTTTTAATCCAGTCGCTTTCCTCCAAGATCCAACTGGCACGAATGCACGCGGTGGATTGGGCTCTGGAAGAGGCAGCAGGTATGTTAAATCCAAGATCTTTGGTACATCTGAATATCGAACGGTGTTTTGAGTTTTGATCAAAATTTTTGAGTGTCTCCCAATCAGTCGCGTATTTGGTTCAATTTGAGTGGGAGCTGTGTTTTTCGTCAGTATTTTGGGTAACTTTATTGGTAATTACCAATCAATGGTTTTATGGTATATGTGTGAGTCTTGGTATTTTTGGCTCCCCCACTTTAATATTTTTTTTACAGAAGCAAGTTGTCTTCTGGTGTTTTTATGTTTTCACTATTTTGAATTTAACGAAGATTAGTGTTTTTCAGCCAAAGAGGTGGATATAACAAGTTTGGCGGTAAGTTATTTTCAGTGAACTTTTGAAATTTGCTAGCTGAAAATTCAGCAGCTTTTGTATGAGTTGTCATTTTTCATCTTACCTTTTTTTAGGTTCACGATCAGGTTCCAACTTGCCCAGCGTCACTAATCGTAAGTTATGCATTCATAAAATTGAACCCTTCGTTTAGCCGATGGACTCCGAGAGGATACCATTTTTGTCAGTAATCTCCCTCAGAATATCGACCACGATGTAATGAAGTCTCAATTTGGTGTTGTCGGGAAAATCAAGGTATTTTTTTCACACCAATAGTGATTTACATTGTAGATCAATTCGAAAAGCGGCATGCCTATGATATGGATATTTAAGGAGAAGGGAATACCCAAAGGGGAAGCGCTTGTAACTTATGAAGATCCGAGTTGTGTCCAGTCGGCTATTCAATGGTTTAAAGGTATGTTTCTATTTCGGTTTGTGTTACGGATGCACGTAAACACGTCATTTGATATACGGATGACATGCTACCCTAATCCGATTGTCCCAAACCCCAATCCAGTAAACTAAGAAGACCTGATATGAAGTAGAACTTGTATTCTACAGGCATCCAGAAAATACGAGGTCCGAGTCCAGAAGCGAATCAGGATCCAGGACTAGGGGTCCGGGTCACAAAACATTACAGATAATGCGTATTTATACAGTTAGGTCGAGCAGGAAACAACATTAAAGTATGTGACATTGCCAGTTAGGACGACCAGTAGGAATGGCCATTATAATCAGATTTCCGAAAATAATTCTCTTAGGATATTCGATGCATATCCTAACAATTTGCTTCAACGTTTTCTAATTTATATCACGTGCCGTTATTGTTTGTTTCCCATTTTGTAATTCTTGTAGAGCACGAGTTTTTGGGTAGAAAGATTGAAGTCAAACAGGCTATCAACAGTCAAAGGCCAGTTATTATTCCGCCTGGAGGTGGTGGTTTGCTCGGAGGAAACGGAAACGGACCAAACAATCCTGCTGCTGCTCTGGCTGTTGCCGCTGTGGCTGCGGCTGCAAGTGGGAACACTGTAGCCAGTCTAATGAATAACAGCGCAGCAGCTGCTGCCAGCCTTGCCGCTCTCACAGCTAACAATCCCCAACTAGCAGCCCACTTTGACTCCAAAGACTATCAAGGTATGGGTCGTGGGGGAAGTACAGCATCTCGAGGGGCTCGCGGAGCAATTACAAACGGTTCTTCTGCACGACCTAGCGTCGGTTCGGCTCAAGCTGGTTCAAGAGAAGGTGACTGGAGCTGTCCACAGTGTGGTAATATTAACTTTTCATGGCGCGAACAGTGCAACAGGTGCCAGGTGGGTTTTCGTTCTTTCACTTTAAATGACATGTGGTCACTGCATACATTTTGAGAATACAATGATCAATCTAAAGTATTTTAATTTGTACTTGAATTACTATGATCGTGCTACTGAGTGAATTAAAACGTGTTGCATAGTAGTCATTTGGGTGTTTATTTTGAAACTTTTTTTTACTTCAGGAAGGTAAAGCAGTAGATGTATAGATATAGTAAAGGAAACATGACTATCAATGAGAAAAATCAACGTACGTAGACTTATTTCCCTAGTTTGAGTATTAGTAAGTGAAAATAGCATCAAAACTAATCACAACTCCGACTTATCACCTTAACCAAAACATTCGTTTAGGTTTCAGTACTACTTGTGAATTGCAGCTACCTTGTATTAACGCTGGCGGTCCGTTGAAACTATCCTTGTTGTAGGAAGAGTTCAAATTACCCTAACTAAACCACTTTCAAACTTGTTGTCTCAAGTTTTCCAATCTCAACTAAGTGAGTTACCGACTTGTATATATATTATCTCGTCATCTGACTATTATATCATCACTGGCGATAGTGGTTATGTACATTGCTGTTTGGGATCGAAGTTACCCGGTCTAATTCATAGACCATTTTTTCAGGTTCACAACTGTCCTCTGGTTCGTAAATGCTAATATGATTACGCTGGTAAATTAAGACTTAATTCGAAAAGATTACTTAATTACGTCATCATAAAGTTAACATCCTTTCACTCTTCACTGTTGCTGCAGTTGTTTGCTAATTGGTCTTGCAGAAATTCTTAATATCTCATTTTGTTCAGAGAACTCATTTAATAATCATTTTCTAATCATGTCGTTGCATTTTGTTTTTTCCAGTCAACTCGTTCAGGTGATGGATCTAGTAATCCTGATACCAGTTCTAGGAACAACATAAATGCCACAGGTCGTGGTGCTCAACCGCCTGTTGCAGTTATGAATTCTAACTCTCAGCAGAACGCTCCTGGATTTGGACGTGGTGGGGCAATGAATCCTAATGCAAGTGCCAATCGAGGGGGTCGGGGTGGCGGTCCAATGCGTGGAAGTAGTGTTGGAACAGGTCGGGCACGCCCAGCGCCTTATTGAGTCATCTAAATTTGTTATTGTAGGAAAATATCTTGAAATATCCTTTCATGATGCATTTCAGGTCTCTGCAATTAGTACCTTTGTTGTCTCACTAACTGAATGGTTTGTGAAATATTGTATTTGAATTGTGTAATTATGGTCATTTAATTTAACAATTGTTCTAAACTCCACTTTGGTTGTCAGTTAATTTTTGATCGCGAATTTATAACATCATTCCTGCTGACCACTTGTGATTAGTCATTTTATGTAAGTGGTAAAATAGGTTTAGTAGAGTCTAACAAAATGTTATCATAATTAACTTGAAGAAAACAAAATTAGTTATGCTAAGTTCTTGTTTAATTAGCACTAGTGGCGTGTCTTTGGTGGTAGTTTGAAGTACTAGTATTGAGTTATTATGATTGGATTCTGTAATCAAACGGTACGTGACAGAGTTCCTGGAGTATAAACAGCGTTTTTATCTATAGTAAATATGAACAGCAAGTAGTTTTTAAGACCCTTTTGTACTTGCTAATCTGGATTGTGTACATAAAATCTCCACAAAAAGTGGTTCCACTATTTAAATTCCTGCTCTTGTCAAATTGCTTAGTTCTTATGAGTTAACCATGGGAGCTACTTATACTTGGAATTAATGTCTGAAAGTTGAAGCCCATGTTTCCTTTAGACATTTTGCGTGTTATACATCAAACAGTAAGCTAGATAGCTCAGGTTATCAGCGTTGCTTTATATTCTAGTAATTTAGATGTAGCACCTATAAGAATCCTAGAAGTAGTGATTCGGGTATTCAGCGAATATTGTTAAGGGTTCTACGATTGAAGCAGTAGGCCAGAACGTTTAAGTTAGCAGCGGAGATATTGGTGCGTTCGAATGATCATTAATTTTACTCTTACTTGAGACAGTATTTTTGAACAAACTCCCGTCTTAACCGGATAAGAGAATCGTATTAACTGCTTATTCTCGATACCAGATCAAAAAATTAAGAACAATCATTTAGCAATTACTATTGCCTCTGTTAGGAGTTGCACGACGTTGTATCCAAATAGTTGTGATTGTCGTCCAGAACTCGGTAAGGCTACTAGGATCGTCTCAGTCTGTCACTTACATGAGTACATCAGTTCGGGTTGCCGTGCCGCATTTGCATAGAGATGCAATTGTCAGTTTAAGTCCAATAGTGGTACAAACAGTGGAAGTATTACTGGTAATGGAGGAGATTAGGATTCGAAGATATGATTTGAGAAGTATAATTCAGTGAGATTAGTTTAGGAAGGGAAAGATAGAGATGATGAATTCAGGAGGTTAGAATTTGAGAGCACTCAATTAATGAATGCACCTGCGCCATTGCAAGCGATTCTGTGCCATGTCGTCCAAAGTCTCTAACCAATGGTGACTGCTGTCTCGCTGACACTAACCAAGTGATCCATACCGACACCTACCAACTTGGCTCGGTCCGTTTGTCAGTGACTTCATGGATTTGTGCCATGTTTTGGTTTGGCCGCCCTTAGTTTTCTTCCAGCCTATACCACAAAACAGCTCGTCGAGGCAGTCGGCGGTTGGGGATACGTAACGCATGACCCGACCTCAGATGATGAATTTTCACTACTTGATTTACTGATCTGGCAAATTAACTGGTATACGTTTCCTAAGGACAGCAACCCTTACTCCACTGTACCAGGATATACAGGCGATGCTTCGGAGACACCTACGATCGAAGACAAGCAATCTGCGAATATCTACTCTCACCGGCCATGCTCCACTGCCATATAGTAGGACGGAGAGAACTGCTGCATAGTGCGCTCGACCTTTGGTTAGCAAACGGATATCTCGCCCGCACCACAAGTGATGCAATAGAGTTTTCTGTATCCGTGCTGAGGTTACGTCAGTCACCAGACCAGCAATGATAAGTCCCCAGATAAGTGAAATGGTTGACACGCCTGACTACTTCACTCCCTATCACTATTCCAGGTGCCGATGGAACCCAATATTGAGGTAACATTTTCGAGGGGGAACTGCATCCCGAATATGCTTGCATTGTTGGTTAGTGTAGTCAGAAGACTGCATCTTGTCGGCGTCTTCAAGAAGAAGGACGGAGGAAATAGACATCATTGACGCACACCACTCGATGTAAAGAAATCCGATGACGGTTCGGCATAAGCTCTTTCTCGACCTGTAGTTTTCGAGTAGAGATTTTGTGTGGGGTTTATGCACTTCTTTTGTACACCTTTCAATGACAGACACTGCCACTGAACCTCATGATCCACAGAGTTGAATGCCGCTTTTAGGTCCAGGATCACAACCATTGTCGCACGTCTAAATGTGTGTCTGTGTCCCAGGACCTGTCGTAGTGTGAAGATGTTGTCCAGGTGTGAAACCAGACTGGTTTTCTCGAATCTGTTCTTCACGAGCTCTATTTAGGCGTCTAAGTATGATTGAGGTTAACAGTTTAGAAACTGTTTTGTTTAGACTTATTCCCCTGTGATTGCCACAAGAAGACTTTTGTCCTTTATTATAAATTGCGACAGTCAGCGATTGAGACCAGTCGGATGTGATTGTGTCCAGTTACCAGAATCTACCTAAGATCTCAGTCAATCTAACTGTTGAAACTGGACCACCATCCTTAAAAATCTCAGGGGTTAGCATATCAGGCGCTGCTGCTCTACCTCGCTTAAGATTTCTTATAGCTTTGTCAACTTCATAAAGAGTTGGAGGACTTGAATCGATTTGCCATTCTGGTTAACCGGAGATCCTAGGCAACCGAAGTGCGACTGAAGGCCAGTTGAACTGTTCCCTGAAGTGTCCTGTCCATCAATCTCTGGCAACTGTTGCCTTTTCATTTCTCTTGCTTTTGCTACCCACCAATGTTCGCGATCGTTTCCTAGGCTTTTTATCAGCCTGCGCTTAAGCTGACTTCGCTCTTCATCATGTTGATAGACAGGTGGGATGAGCTTTCCGGCATCCAACAGTTCGGCAGATGCTACTGAGACTCGGCTTCTTCCTAGACTTATGGTTTACCTTACTAGTAGATGTCGCTGCTGTTTCCACAGCTCTTTGGATACCATTCCAAGCTGCCTATGGATGGGGGTCATTTACATAGTCGCTTAACGGTTTTTCTAGTTTCTGAAATATATCCATAGCTTTGCTATCATTGTAGCGTCTTTCCTACGTCCAATAAGCTTCAAACAAATACGCGCTCACACTAGAGCCTGATCTGAATCTAATCATGTGCCCCAGAACGGGCGACAGTCCTCTTCCGAACCCCTCCATCGTCGGCTGATTGCGATGTGGTCTAGTTGGGTCCGACGATGAGACAACTTTGGTGATCGCCAGGTCAAGAGGTGTTTTTCCTTATGGTTAAAGTTACTGTTTTCTAGAAACAGGCGGTTATCTGAGCATAGATGCAGCAGACGGTCGCCATTATCTGTTCTATTAGCCGCGACACCCAGGTGTCTTTCTTTTCCACTTAGTCCACCTACTTGAGCATTGAAGTCACCAGCAATTATTAATATATCATAGCTCCTAGCTTTTTGGAGGAGGTCCGGAAGCTTTCTTTAGAACTCGCCTTTCACCTCGTCTGAACTGTAGTTAGTGGTAGCGTAGGCAGATATGACGAATAGGCAACGACGAGTTTCCCTATCTTTCCGAGTCCGTACCGTCCTGTTTAGTCGGACAGCGCATAAGCAACTATCTACTGGGGTCCACTCTAAGAGAGCTAGTTCTGCCCTACGACACAATGCTATTTCTGCGCCAGCGAGACCCCGGTAAGCAACATAAGCGATTCGTGATGCAAGAAGAGTAAGTCGAGCTGCTTCCTTATTTTGACATGTTGAAGTCAAATGAATGATTTTACTAGGATCCTCTTCTATGCGCATTTCGTAAACGCAGCATACATCGGTGGCGCAAGATTCTAATGTCCTAGCTAAGGGAACCTGTTCCCTTATTTGACACAATGTCCGTACATTCAAGCTCCAACATGTAGTCTAGAGCAGGGTTTCAGGAGACCAGGATTTGTTTGTGACCGATTTGGTCTCGCGTTCTGCTACGGATTCGGGGGCAGATGATACACCTTGGAAGGTTGTGTCTTGTGGAACCTGAAAAGGAAGGTAGATCTGGGAGCGTGAACTCACTGCCCAGGTGACAATTTCTCGAGGCCAGTCACGCACGGCCTTTTTATGGGTAGTATTTAGAGTGTTAGCTCCGCTCTTGTTTAAAAGGCCTTACCGTCAGAGACGGAAATGTGTGAGGTAATGTGAGGTGTGACACTTTTAGGATCGACCTTTTATAACCCCTTCCTGACTTGTGAGACGGCAGCATCGCTACAGATGTTGGTTGTCCTAGGGAAACACCTTACTGCTATCACACCTCTCTGCAGTTGGCAGTACGACTTCGCCCTCAGACCTTGAGTAGCCGCTTTTAGTCTTATCCTTCTCGAATCGACCTTACTGGCATGGTAGAATCTACAGGAACATATGTTCCTAGCCGATATAGCTCAGCTGGGTGATCACGATTGGCAAGCCCGACCACCACGTCAAGGTAGCAGCTACGGTCGGGAATAGGATTATCTGCTCATCTTTAACCGTTGAGTCATATTTTTGAGCCGTTTCAGTGGTATTTACTTAACAATTACTCAACCAAGTTGATTTCTTTCGATTATTTAGTTGATTTGTATCTAAAACGGCACATGAAGAGTCCGGTCTTCACATGGAGATGTTCAAGATATCGCATATTTGACAGGATTTTAGTGAAAGTTTGTCATGTTTCTGTAAATTAACAAATAAGTCATTCATGGAGTTTGTTTGAGAGTTTGTAATTATGTTTGTGGTTAAATAGTTTTCAGCATTTGTTCATCATCAAGTGCTATGATATCTACACCGGTCTACTTACTTACATTTTGAATATCAATTAACTTTCAGTCCACAACCTACATTTACTTTCACTGTGGTGTTGGTGTTTGTGTCTATTCTGATTGCTTGTAGTTGCAGTGTTATCAGATGCTCCCTCGGTTGACGCAACGTTTGTTAGTGGATATTGTGGATTAAGGTTTCTAATTATTAATGTTCAGATCTATCCTCCAGATATTTGTACGATAATTATCATGGCCTTAAAATGTATATACCTAGTCCTACGGTATTTGAACTGTATCTGCTCTTCATTGTTGCACTAGTTTTCCAAGAAATG